CAACAAGGCTTCCCTGAAACTTCAGCTGAGACAAAAATCTCTCAAAAGAATTCCAAGCAATCCATGTCTTGTTTCTAGTGACAAAGTCTCAACGAGGTGGACAGACATATCTGTAAAAGACTTGTATCAGGGTTGATTAATATACGACCAGAAGAGGACTCAAATTACAGGAACAAGTCCTACTGGGAGATCCGCGCAGGCTTGCACAGCCTCCGAAGCCAGCTTCCAAAGAGAAGAGACTCCTCAAGACAACATGAAATACTGCCACTGTATCACCAACACGCCACTTCCCGTTTTTGTGTTACTCTGCTTTTTTTTTTTATTAGCCATTACACAACCGACACGCGAGTCCCCGACCTGGGAGGGTCTGACCGTACCGAGTTCCTTTGCACAGGGACCGATCCCACCCAGAAGGATGTCTGAGTGCACGTGAACCACGTGGAAGGGCCATCCTGGCCCCCATTTTGGAACGGGTGCTTCTTGAAGTTTTGTGCACACCTGCTTGGAGGTGCAAAACACGGGCGTTGCTGTGGATTTCTTAGAAGAGTCGAGTTGAAGAACCAAAGCTTTTACATAACACCATCTCCTTCCCTCGCCCACGTGCACCAAGTCAGCGCTGGAAGTTTTCCTCATTTCTAGTTTCCTATTTCTGCATCAGCAGAAGGTTATCAAATCTCCGTAGCCACCACAAATGAAACGTATCAAGAAAACTTAAAAAAGGGATTTTCTTCCATATATTATCAGTTATTCTGCAGTAGGACTTCTATTTCACATTGCTATTAAAGTGACAGATATTACAGAAAATTACATCAGGTCTTTTCTGCTCTCTGACTCATATTCCTAAATAACTTTGGTTGACTCATTTCTCCTAACTTGACTTGGCTGAAATCTAAGTTTTTCCTCTATTAACAAATAAAAGTAGCTTTCCCCCTTCATTCAGCTTTTCCAGGTGAAGATTCTAAATACTTCCACTATTCCAGCCAACCGTAGGAAACTAAAACAAAAGCGAAGGGATTCTACCTGGCAAGACAGCCCACCTACCTCGTTGCCATGATTACAGCTTGCAGAATTTATGCTGAGCATACTTATCCTGTATCAGCTACATACAAAATGGACTCACTATATCCAGTCACTAAAAACATGACCAACAGATTTACTATGAATAATTAAAGTTATTTTCTTGCAAATTTATGTTCTACATTCACCTACAACTGTTGCTACACAAAACCAACCATTAGTATTGAAAAATACTGACGTAACTCCACCGTGATTAAATGAAGCCACAACAGGAACACGACACCAAGAGAGATATGCTATTTTATTTAAAATCAGACCACAGTAGATTACAGGAAAACTTATTATGCAAACAAATCCACTGTACGTTTCACAACTTGCTAGGCATATAAAATTGCCCCTTTATTAGTCTGTCCAGGGTTACACAGAGGAACCATTCAGGTGCAGGACGACTCTACCTTCTCAGAACTCATTGTTTGCTCTATAATCAGGTTAAAGGAATTGTTGATTTGAGCTCTGTATCTAAGTCATTATTCCAGTTTGAGAGGGCAGAGAAGTCCCAAAAGAGGTCGAGACTGAGGTTATGGAAGTTGGGGCACTAACTATAATGGTTACCCATGACCGGACTGTGCCCAGGGCTCTGCCTCCTGGCATCACATGAAAGCTTATATTCTATATAGTCCCTCCAGGGTCACTGGTACAAACGTGACCTGTGTGGATCAGCTCTGCTAGAACAACTGACTCCGTTTCCTCTAGGAGACAGCACTGAAGTGCAGGGAAACTCATCCTGGATGAGTTAGAACCGTTCAATGCCGATCATCAAACAACCTAACCACATACAACTGAATTAGTCATAACTTACAAAACTGCATACAAAAGACTGGCAAACGTAATGCCACCCAAAGAGAGCATTTTCAACGCTACCAACACTCTAAAGCCGTGTTACACATCATATTTAAAAGATTTTTCTCCACTCCAATTGCTTTGGGGAAGTATATGCTATTTGCAGCAGACATTAAAAATCCTCAAGACAACACAATAATATATATATTTTGGCAAGCGTACTGAGCCACCCCCTCTCAAGACTCAGCTTGCCTATGGCATTTTAATCTCACTATTTTATAAACAGTGCAAATTAGTATGATTCTACACATCCTAGCCATAGCAGAATTTATTTATTAGCTGTAACAGAACAGGAGAAGCTGTCGAAGGGCAACGGGTCGAAAGCGCCGACACATCTCTTGCCCGACTCACTCAGGTTAGTGTTTCATAATGTCTGTTTCTGAAAGGATTTAAACAGCTTTCCACAGCGTTCTTCCTCCTTTACCCTCAAACATTACCAGCAGTCAAGTATATATTTACAGTTTGTGCGCACACACACGCAATTAATGGCAAAACGTTTCCCATGAGCAGCTGGATTTCAGTTATGAGATCGCTATAACTGAAACATCACATTAGTTACATTTTCCATGTTCAAACTTATCCATCAGTGAAGGCAACCATAAGCTTACAAATGGCAGATACAGCCTTTGTTTTTTCTGAAGTATGAGGGTGAGCTTTTTTTGTAAAAGAAAGTGCTCTTGAAGAGCCCTTAATTTAGAGTTAAGCAATGGCCATTCAAATGATAAAAATGCTAATATCCTACTATTACAATCACAAGTAGTGATCCTAAGGCACATCAGCCACATGCATATGCAATAATGCATTGTTCTGCTTTCAGACAGAAAAATTGCATCAGCTTTGTCTGTATTTAGTTTGCACAAGAGTTTGTTTTCAGATAAAGTATCCCTGAAAGGTCATGTTATCACAAAAGTTACCAAAAGACAGAAAATTTAACAAGTAGTAAAAATATTTTTGGACTATTACCACCAATAAAGTTAGATACATAAAATGCAGTGCAAATCCACAATACACTTATCTATCACCTTCATCACTTCTGAGGATTTTCAACCCTTGGAAAAAAAGTTGGCACTTGATAAGTGTAAAATATACCTGGTTGTTTTTATTAAACGTCAGCAAAACTAATTTGAGAGTGTTTTAGGGTTTTTGTGTAGCAGGCTCCAAGCACGAATTTCTGTACTCGGTCACCACCCTGGTAGCCCCCATCCACTTTAATTCCTTCCAGGACACAAATCGTTTCTACAGCAGACTTGGGTTTAGCATTCAGATACAACAGTTGCCATCCAAATACCAGCACTAATAGCACAGCAAAATTACTTTGAAACGAGTCATAATTAACCATGCTTATACGAAGCTTCAGTGAGAAAATAATACCAAGATAAGATACATTATTTTTAAAAAAAACATATCCTGTACCATCACTAGATAACAGAAAAAACACACTTTGCAAACAAATCCAATGCACATTGCTTCACAAAATCCCCCATTATAGGAACTTTCCAGACTTACACTGGGGAATTGGTTCAGATGCCAATAACACTGACCAGCCTTCTGCCCTGTGTCTTCAGAAGGCAAAACAAGCCAAATAACCGTATTTTCAGAACAGAGAGCTTCCTGTTATGAGCTTAATTTCAGATTAGTATTTGCTAGCAACCACCACACTCCAGAGGAAATGATTAAGGGACAGTCAAGGGCCTTACATAAAGAGAAAAAAAAAAAAAAAATCTATTTTAACCGAAGCTGTTTGTAGTCCAGACTTCCAAACAATGTAGTGCATTCCAGGGCAATGATATGAAAATGCTTCAAAATAATGCAGGGGCTAGGACAGATTCTGGACTGTGAGTTTCTTAAATTACTATGAATTAGTTGAAAGTTGTTTCTGGATATGAGAAATTGATAACAAATTTATGGATACATTCTGCACAAGCAACAAGTGTTAAGATTTGCCTCCCCCAACGCTATACTAAAATACCAGCATGTGTCTGCACCTTAGGCTTCAAGAGTCACATTGAGGGTGAAATCTGAGCTTCCTGAAAAAGCCCCCCCTCCAGTGGCATAAGAAGTCAAGAATGGATTATGTAAGATGCAAACAGCCACCACAGAGTTCGAAAAAGCTTTACTGTTTTGCCTGCTTGCAGAGAAATGTTAGCTGCAAATTTCAGATAGACACACATGTCAAAAATTGCAAAACTAAAGGAAAGGGGAAAGTTAAAAATAGTTCTGCCAAGCAACAGACTGAGTTTGAGGGAGAAAATGAAATTGTGGAGCTTCAAGTGGGCAATTACACAACGTGAAAACCCAGTATTTGATTAAGAAAATACCCTGCCTAGATTCCTGGAATCACATGATATCAAAAGCTAAGCACCTGTGTAAAAAAATCACTTCTGTATCCAAGGCGTGGAAAAGAAAAAAAAACAAACAACCATTAAGAAAGAGTCTTAATAGGCAAGGGAATAAAAATGCCTGGCAAGGTTTCTATAAAACTCTAAACTGGCTCTACAAACAGTTTAGTTTAATTTCAAGAGACCAGGACTTTCAGGATATCAAGCTATTTAGGACTGGGAAGAGTGTGTACTTCTATTACCAAAAGTCTAAGGTAAGAAGTGAAATGTAGAAATGAAACTCTTGTAACCTTTACTGACTAAAAACCACACGAGGTTTTCTTACAAGAGTTTCAGCTCAGCGAGCCCTGAAAACGTTACGCACCTGGCCACAAACACCACCGTCTGGGCACACTGCAAAGGATGCTGATGCGGTCCCATGGCAACTCCTTGCCCAGGACTCAGATATGGTTGTTACTTCCCAAACACTGGCACCGACACAGAATTCTTTAGAGGGAAAAACAGCTCCCAGTTTGCCACATGTACATCCAGCTGCGATGGGAATACATCAAACCAGAACAGGATGCTGATTTACCTTCACTAAAGAATTCAGAGCACGATTCGATTTGTCAGGAAATCAATCCACTGTACGCTGTTTCACGATTTGATGGATTTACAAAACTTAGACCCTATCACCTTCCTAGAAAAACCTTGTCGTCACTGATATTTGAAAACAAAAATAATCACATTTACCAAACGCAACTGCAAACCTCTGTGCCACAGCTCGAATTTTGTACTTTATTGTGCAAAAAACAGAGGCTTTCCATTGCCTACATTAAGTCTGTGATGGGAGAAAAAGGAAATATAAGCACCAATACATAAGTTAGGCGCACCAAAATATTCACTGGAGGATAAAGCCAGGATGTGGCGGAAGGCGAGGCGGTCTTTGGGGAAGAGCTGGAGGATACTGGGGTACAAACTGAGATGGGTATCCTGGCTGTGGCATTTGACTTGCAGACTGAACTCCTGGTCGAGGGGGGAGAGGAGGATACGGAGCACCTGGATAAGAAAAAGCTGGTCCTGAACTTATGGCTGCAGTAAACGGAGTAGGAAAGCATCCTGCTGGGACTGAAGAAGGTGGAGGGGGTGGTATTCGTCGGGGCACAACTGAAGGAGGAGTGTTTGCATCCGAAGTGTAGGAATCTTGAGGTGCTGGTGTTGCCTCGGGTGCTCTTGGCTGAGCCTGTGGCTGAACCTGTGGAAGTCTCTGTCCCTTCAGCACCATTTCTTGGAGCTTCTCAATTTTCACACGACGCAGGTGAGCCAGTTTACGCTTGCTCTGGTACTCATCGATGAAGGAATCCAGTGGTATTTCACCGTCAAGAAATTTTTCTGCCATATTCTGTCAAATATGGAACAATCTCTTAGAAAATGGCATACTGCAAAAGAATCTAAATGGCTTATATCCTAAAAATAGCACAATTTTGCCTGTGATTTTCCAGCTTGCATATGGAAGATGACTGGCATACTAAGAATTCCGAGCAGAATTTTGCGTTAGTTATTACTCAGAAGCCCTGAGAGTTAAATATCATTTTTGCTTAAATTTATACAGAAGCAACAGCAGTAAGAACATCTGAATCCAGCCCTGATCATCAGAGATGGGAACAAATGAAGTTGGACAGCTTTCCAGATTGCCAGCTAAGCTGAATTACAGCTCAGTACTTCTTGCAATGCCAACAGAAACACTGACAACTCCACAAGCCTCCCTACCAAGAGGCAGATTATTGCTGTGCCAGGTTTAATATGAATGCTTACTTGTGGCTTTGGGTAAATTATGTTTAATAATTAAGAGAGGTGACCACACATACAATCATAAAATTCAACTTGTCCTGGGAATGTTTACTTGTCATCACAACTCAGGGCCAATAAGCAGAGTTCTTCCCTGTTGCCAACATGCTGTGTAGTTATAGAGAACATCCTACAGGCAAATGAGCAAACAAAACCCAACACTTCCATTATTCTGAGAACAGACCACCCTTCAAGCACTTGTATTACAGTGAGTGGTGACCACAGGCATCTAGACAGATACGTTGAAATCAGAATGGAATATTTCACCAGAAATGCTGGAGAAAAAACAGTGCAGGCACAGTTTTCCATTAGGTTACTAATTGGCATTTGTAATGGATTAATACATATACCAGCAAAACACCATTTAAAAAACATTCCACATTTACACAATATTAGTTTGAAGGCAATGCCAAGGAACTACAAGGGTTTGGCTTTCTTTTCTGAAAAGGAGCATTTTCTCTCTTAAACCTCAAAGATGTTAAGAGTAAAAAATTACTCATAAAAAAAATTTCTCGCTGAAACCAATTGAACCTTGTTCATTGAAGCTCAAAGCAAAGATCAGACCACGTTCTTAAAAATCTCTCTTTAGTCCATTACATGTTCAACACTACACCGCAGCTATGGACATTCCAAGTCTTCAGGAATGAGTACAAGTGGCAGAACTGAAGGGTACTGTCGTTACCTCTGTGTCTTCCTCAATCTTAGCCCCCTCTGTCTGAAGCAGCGCTAGCAGTGTCTCCAGTGAAGCATTACTGGATTGTCTGTCTGCAATGGCACAAAAAGAACAGTAAATGGCAGCTGGCTCTAAGTGACTTCTAACTGAAGCCATACAGCCTCAGGAAACATAAAAATTTCTAAGGCGTCTACGTACAACTAGCATACTCCATCGTTCTAGAAAGTATGACCCACAGTAAGGAAAAATATTAAGTAGTTTAGGAATATTGTCAGTGCTAAAAGCTGAAATTTAATTACAATGACATATTTACAATATTGAAAGACAAAGCACTTCAAGTGCAGGATCAGATGTATGATACTTCATAATTCAGTATGAAATGAGAAAGTTAAATCCAATATTCCGTTTGATTTATGATCACTCACTGAAAATTCAAATTGTGTTTTGCTTTTCAGCAAGGTAAACGAATTTAATCATTTAAGAGAACAGAAGGTCAACAATAGGCAGGTAACCACACAGTAATAAAAAGAACCCACAGTATCTGTTACAGCAAGTAACAGATACTACATAAACCATTAGAAGCATGATCTATTTCAGAACTACAAAAGAATGACATTTCACTTTGTACCCTAATTCACACAGCTACAAACGAGACACCAAACAAAAAACACGCAACAGATTTACATTCACTTAGAAAACAGCGAATCATAATCGTCCACAGAAAACGTTACCTAGTTTTGTTTTCTTTATCTGGTATGCTTCAAAAAGAACTTGCAGCTTTTGATATTTTTCAGTCAAATTTGCTTTCAAAGACTCCAACTTTGGCTGGTACAAAAGATTGCCTTCTGCCAGGCTGCGGTTGCTGGCAAGAGTCATGTCCTTGCTGTGTTGAACATTTTGAGCCTAGGAAAAAGAAAAAGCACGTGAAATGAAAATGAAAATCATAAGCAAGACTAATGGTTATTCAGACAATATGAGAAGTTAAAAACTTCTAAATAAACAACAATATTAAGCTCTCTGTAAAAATCAGTACCGTAGTATTGGACCTGCAACTAATAACAATACTTTTGGACTTACAATGAATGGTGGGAACATCTACTGACTTGGTGGCTACGGTCAGCTCCAGCTATTGCACTCTCTTCCCACGCTCTCTTTTTTCTGCTACACAAAATCCTTCCTCACAAACTGTGTTTTTACTGCTCTATTAGGTAGTACCTCTAAAAGGTACTAGTTTACTAGCGTATCACCTAGAAGGAATAAGAAGGTCTATGTCACAAACAGCATGTGGAAATGATCTAAAATCACAATCGACTGTTGGAGCCCATGGGGGAAAGACTTTCCGAGGAATTGCCCGGACAATAAGGATCTTCTTTCAGCTGTGAACACCTGCGAATGAATCGCTTCCTGAACAGGAATTAATACTGACCTGAAGACGCTTTCCTGCACATTTTTTTTCCACGAGCAGCAGACAGCTCATTAAAGTTTTCATCTCCAAGCTGGAAATGATAATTACTCAAAGAGTTTGTGTTGTGGGAAAGGACTCGAAGAAGCCCTCTCCTTTGAGCAGGGGCAGAGGCGTAAAAATCAAATTTTTTCCATTCACGCTCCGCTACCTGAAAGTGTTTTATATGAACCTTTACTCATCATTTAATGTAGATGCTTCTTCATTTCCACCTCATGCACTACCTTTACCATTCGCCCATGATGAACATGGACAGATAAAGCAACAGTTGCTCTTAAAAAAAACAACAAACCAACTTTGAATCCCAGTAGTAACATGCAGTAAGACTGCAGAGGAATGTCATCCTTTATCTCATTAAAATGCAGAAACCTAGGACCGCATCATTACGGTGCCTTCTCCAGAATATTCTTCCCCAACTATGTTAAATCAGTCCTGGATTAACGCCAAAAGCTTGTTTTTCAGTTTAATCCTTCTGCTTAACATATCCTAGCCTGAAGGCATTGCTCCTAAAGAACAAATGACAATTCTCAAAAAACCAAGATTCGGCAAGATTCCGAGTTTGCTCATACACATGCACGATTTAATCAAGACAGTCTTCATGAGCTTTGGGAGAGCTGAGTGTTTGGGGAAGTCTGCCCTGGTTGTCACATTAGATTCATTAAAATATTCAGACATCAAAAGGGGGAAAAAAAAAAAAGCAAGGGATCTGATCTCAGATTTTCAGTCTGATTCAACAAGTGGGACAGTTCTCCCATGGCACAACAGACTGATTCTATTAAGCTGCCTTGAAAACCAACGAAGCATTTGGTACATTTTTGGTGACCTCCTACATTAACATCCCCCTTCTAGCCCACATCATCCCTGTTTAGCTACAACAGATCTTATTCACAGACAGCTGCACTGGATTCAGCACAAACACACAGAGTACTTTCCTCCTTCCACACTCATGGGTGGATACAGGAGAGCCACACCTCAAACAGGAAGAGAGGAAACCCAAATGAGCTATTTAAAAGCCCCACAAAAGGGCAGGACCAGAATTCAGGTGTTCCTGACAGTCTGAGCACATGACTAGGTGCATCAGGCGGAAATACTTTCCATCTGTAGCAAGTGTTTCCAAAAGCAATCACTTCCTTTTGAAATATTCCTACACTGCTTTAATCTTCTAAATTCAAAACTGGCTCAACGTTATTTAAAACTATCTTTGGCCCCAGATATTGCTCTTCAAATATTGAAGTTCTACTCTCTTACATCCTGTTCTTCCTACACCACTTTAAAAAAAAACAATGCAGGGATAATGCCGAGTCCTTAAGTCTACATCAGCGAAAATAAATTTATATTCCAAAATAAGAGACACTGTACTTGTGACACTCTTTTGCCTTTTCGAGACCCTCACATCAAGCCTAAACAAGCCTCCAGCCCTACGCTTGCGTTCAGCTTGAATCCTTTCCAAGAATAAAAAGAAAATCCTCTCTTCTCACTTCTGGATCCAACACAAAATAATCTGAACTAAACTGGTTGCTGCCACTTCTTTCTCCTAATGATCTAATGCTGTTAGGCTTTTTTCCTCCCATTCTACATTTTTTCTAAAGATTATGAAGGGAACTAAAATACACACGATTTAATAGCTTCATTACTGGCACCCAGCTTCTTAACCAAATCGCCTGCCACCACCACAAGTTGTGTTAACCAGCTGTCTTCTGAACCGCCGGCCAAAGGCGGCTGCGTGCAAAAAGATTCACGGTTTCTGACGCCTCTCCTCTTCCATCATTTTAATGAGCAAACTGCTTCCTCCGAGCGACTTCAATTTGATCTGGTGACTGTGTTTTCAGTGCTTGTAAGGCTGATATTCTCATTTCAAAGCAGTTACGCAGTCAGACTGGGAAGACCAGTTCTATAAGTGAACTTTGATCTTTCTTCAGGATGAAGACCATGTACCTTTCCTCTAGAGAGAAAAAAGCCAGTGGACGCGAACCTATAAACTGTTCAAGAGCACAAATCCCAGAAAAAGGAACCTTTTACTGAAATCATGTATAACAAAGAGAAGAAGGAAGAACTCCAGAAAAACAGACAGAATAACACAAAAAGCTTCCTGAAGTCAGATGAGGCTTTTGTGATGTTTTTAACCACTACTTTTAAATAACTCTCCTGCCTCAAGTATCATAATGTCTCTCAACAGGTCTGGGGAGGGGAAGGAGGAAGCAAATGCCTAACTTTCTACAATTATTTTCTGAATAACTTTACTTTAAAATAATTTCAAATGTGTAAAAGCAAATAAATATGAGCATGGGATGACGTACCTGACTTGTAAAAATAAGAAAAAAAAAAATAAATCAGTGTTACGATCTACCTACATCTAGCGCAGAGTGACTTCCTTTCCTGTCCTCGGCATCTGATATCTAGAAATTATACATCAGACTAAACTTAAACCAAGTATTTTTAAGACTGTTGCTTAAAATTTAAAACAGTTAAGGTATTCATAATCGCACTTTAAGTTACAGTGCTTGAAATTACACAGGACTTAATGACTCAACTTTTTCCATATTACAGCACTTCTAAGAAGGGCACATTTTTCTACTGAAGTTGGACACAAAACATGATTGACATTTAATGATCAATCCAAGTGTCACTCCTGAAGTCTTCACTTCCAGCATTAGTCTGTATCAAATTTCTTTAAAAAATGGACAGTTGAAGAGATGAAAAACTCAAATTGAATCTTACACAAAACCATGAGAAGCATCAGTTCCCAAATACAAGGTAAACTCAGTAATTATGTTTACTGAAACTTGAGCTGGTAAAGACCCATCCACCTGTTCAGGACATTTAAATGCTTCATGTCACTGAAAAAAACCTGAAGTCTGTGGAATGAGTAAATTCTCTTTCACAACAAATAGCACATATATAATCCCAAAGCAATGCAACTTGAATACAGTCATGAGATTTTACAACCCAGAATAATCTCTGGCACTGACGGTAAGGTCCGTGTAATAAACTATTCTCCAACAGTTCCACTGAATTTAGAAGTTAATTCAAGGAATCAGAAAAGCCAATACTGTAAAATTAGCCTAAAAAGCCCTATAGAAAAACTTTCAAGAAACGTTGACTGATTCAAACCAAAAAAAAGACACTTGCAAAATCATCCAAGGGTCAAAGACACAGTACAGCATGACCAGTCTATTAAGATTAGCAATGCAGCACAAAGCCTGCTTTCAGCAGCCATTCACAGCTTTCCACAAGCCCAAGACAATAGTCCAGCAAGGAATAAATCCAACAGAAGTTATTTTGCTGGCTGAGGTGTTGTGGGACAAAAGTATGTCTTAGCAGGGAACTGCTTCTGCATCAGATATTCACCTGCTGACTGGAAGCGCAATGAAAAAAAGTTATTAAAAGAAAAGCAAACTGCACATGAGACCCTAGCAGAATTGCTAACAAGACTCTTGAGATCATGAGCACTTCGCCAGGCTTAAACATGAATCTGAAAACAGATGAGAAATACCAGTCAGAATCACGAGACATAACGAGACAGTACAATATTAAAAAGAACATATGCTTTTTTTTTTTTTCACCGCTAAGCTCTCGCTATGAATTCTGAATGGGACAAATGAGGCAACAATGCTGAGCTGCTTATAAAAGGATTTTAATGGCAGAAGGATTGCTCACCACTGAGTAGACCACTCAAATCAAATTGTGCATGCTGCAAGAAAATGAAGCCATGGACACAGAGAGGTTATTAAAGACAAAAATCATGGTTTATGCAGCACTTCAAAGCTTAAGAAGCTTAAAAAGTGAGTTTCTTTAACAGTAAGAATTTGACTAATTTTACTTAAGGATTTATTCAATAAGCATTTCCAAGAACGGGCAGCAGCAACTGCTCTGGCAATTGGGATTCTACTACTTTCATCAACTGCAGCTTTGTTTCATTCCACTTTTAAAAAAAGGAAGAAAAATGCTGGATAAAATTAAAACAGAAGCTAGTACTAGCTTAGCAACATTTTTACTATTTATCATTTACTCCAAAATAACAGTTTGCAACAAGAGTTATTTGTGCAAAAAAATCTTTCAGAAGCGTCACTCCTGTTCATCCAAAAGCACGTTCCCAGAGGAACAATTCCAGACCAGATGCCTCCTGAGATGCAGCCTCAGCGACTGGAATCCCAACTACCCACAAAGCCCATCAAGTGGTGCTATAATTATAAGTTTGCTTTGGCAAGCACTATGGCAAGTAGTCTCTCGGTACTTTCAAGAAAAAGTCTCTTAAGGAGCTATAAATAAAAAAGTTTTATGTGGCATCATTTTAATTGCTTTATACACAGCACACATCCACGTTGGTTTTAGGTTTCACTGGTCTTGCTCTAGCCTTTACCATTCCTACCTTCTCTCTTTCAGTTACACACACTTGTAAATTAGGAATAAAACACGCAGTCACACTGGGGAAGTGTA